CCCTGCCCGGAGGTGACCACATGGAGGTGTGGCAGACCTCTCCTGACCCACTGCTCCCCTCAGCAGTGTACTTTGTCGATCTGCCTGTTCTATTCCCCGCTCTGTCTCTGGTGAAGCCTCTCATCACCCCTGCGCCTCTGGCCTGCACCCCAGTTCTGTATGCACAAATAAATCTTTAAAAAAAAAAAGTTTACCTGATACTTTTCTAACTATCATCTGAAATACTTAAAATAATAAAATGCCAAACAAGAATCTCCCCCTGGCAACTGGAAGATTTGAACATCTTTATCATTTATTAATGTATTTATTTTCTGAATAAGTAATATAAGCACATACTTCAAAATTCAAAAGATTAAAAAGAATATAATTTTCCCTCCGGGGCCCTCCTTGGTGGACACAGCGGGTTAAAGCACAACACTAAGAGTTAAAGCCACTTCAGCATAAGTTTGATCCCCACCTGCCCTGGAGGTGACCCACATGGCGCGGCAGACCTCTCCTGACCCGCCCACTGCTCCTCTCTGAAGTGTACTTCGTCAGTTCTGCCTGTGGTGCTCCCCACTCCGTCTCTGGTGAATCCTCTAACCCCCCCACCCCCACACACATACCTTTGGCCTGTACCTCAGTTCTGTATGAATAAATAAATACATCTTAAAAAAAAAAAGTTTCCCTCCTATCTCTTCTCGTAACTACGCACTTAACCATAAACAAGCACTGTTACCAGTTTTTTCTTGGTCAGACAGCAATTTTAGATGAACCATTTTGAATGCAGCATCCCTAGCAACCATTCCTCTGAGAACCTAAATATATCTTGAGGAGAAATACCATATCTTACTCTGGTGTAACCACTAAGAACTGATTTCCAGAATTTTCCACTACAGACCCAATAAAAGATAAGTCTTTCAACATAAAATCTTTGGGTTTATAATCTAATGATTTTACTTTTAACTATATGTAATCTGTCACCAAGTTTTATTGATTATTCTTCTGGCTTATAACATGATTATTATATCACTTCTATTACCACAAGCATCAACCTAATGTAAATATCACTTTTACTCTAACACTGTGGTATGCTGGCCAGTTTTCCAGTTTCTTACTGAAATCCAATGTGCCATGTGTAGCTTCTTAGAAACACAAGTTTCTGGCATTCCTTTTCCATTTTTATAGACTTTAGAGTTTCGCTTCTAGCAGATTATACAGAATCTTAACAGAATTTGCAAAATTCTGTCAATAAGATCTACTGTGTCTTGATTTCAATCAAATGCCTTTTCCTTTCATTCCTCATTTTTTAGACTTTAACTGTCACATATAAAATAAGCATATTATTCAGCACTAATAAGAAATGAGCTACCAAATCACAAAAAGACATGGAGGGAACTTAAATGCTCACTACTCAGTGAAAGAAGTCAATTTAAGAAGGGTACATACTACATGATTCCAACAACATGGCATTCTAGAAAGGAAAGACTATCTATATAGTAAAAGTAATTAAAAATAAATAAATTTCATTGCCTATCAGGGACTGGTTGGATGAATAAGCAAAGCACACAGAATTTTTAAGGCAATGAAAACTCTCATACTGATTAATTTACATATGTACAGACCCATAAAATGTACAACAAAAAATGCGAATTCTAAAGAACACCGTGGAATTTGTGTAGTAATAATACACCACTGCAGGGTTATCAACTGTAACAACTGTACCACTCTAGTGGCGGATATTGTACAAGAGGAAGTCAAACGTGGGGGCAGGGGTATATGGAAATCCTCTGTATCTTCCTCCCAAATTTGTTGTGAATCTAAAACTGTGCTAAAAAAATATTATTTGAATATGTATTTAAGCATATACTTATATATATCATTTCATACTTATATACAATGAATACAAATTTTTATATCCATGTATCACATAGAAAATCACATACAGAAATTAAAGCTAAATGGAGTAGGAATCACCATCCAGATTAGGCAACCAAAGCATAATCAGCCACCACAGAAGTCCCCCATGGGTCCTCTCCTATAATCAGTGTAGCTGCCCTCCTACCCTCTATACCATCCCACATAAGAGAAACTACAATTACTACTTTCATGGTAATCTTCCTTACTTTTATTTATGGTTTTATTATTTATTAAATGTTTATATTTAAATTCTACCTTTTTTTTTTAAGATTTATTTATTTGTGCATACAGAACTGAGGTACAGGCCAGAGGCTCAGGGGCAGCGAGAGGCTCCACCAGAGACAGAGTGGGGAACAGAACAGGCAGGTCGACGAAGTACACTGCTGAGGGGAGCAGCGGGCGGGTCAGGAGAGGTCTGCCACGCCATGTGGTCACCTCTGGGCAGGCGGGAATCGAACTCATTCGGCTTCAGCTTCCCAGTGCTGTGCTTTAACCGCTGTGCCACCAGGGAGGGTCTAAATTCTACCATTTAACTTTGCCCTTTTTAAATCTACAGATTCCCTCACCATCTATTTTTTTGCAACTTACAGAATATATTAGATTATCTGTTCTACAGTAATTTTCACAAACTGCATTCCCAGAGGCTCCTTCCCACTTTCCACTGTCTTCTACATTTCTATTCTACATTAATAGCTGGGTATACATGGCTTCAGCAGATTTAGGTCAATATTTTTGGTAAATTTGTTTCTTAGGTGGTACTGTATTTATAATATATATATTCTCTGTTTTTGTGATGCTCAGTGTCAAAATCCATTAAAATAACAATGATTGCAAAATTCTAATTCTATTGATTTGTCGTTCATTTCTAGCATATAAAATTTCTCTGTAAACATAAACTGTCTCATCTACTATCTGTTTACCCAATGGTATTGTTTATACAACAAAAAAATGAATAAATACTTGATCCTTTCCATTGGAAAGTGTTTAAAATTGAGGACTTTTCTAACCAAGATAAATAATAAGTGAGTTTTGTTTTGATTTTATTATATAAATGTAAACATAATAAAGAACATTAATTCATTGTAGCTCTTGGTGTTACAGATATATACTTTGTCCTATTTTGGCCAATAGGAAACTCTGAGGGTAATCGGCTTTGCTGGCTCCCCTGAGACTGAGAAGTGCGCAGGAGATGAGATTTCAATGCTAAAACTGAGATAGTTGGTCACCTTTGAGCCTCTTCAAGTCACCTCCTGAGTCCTCTCATCATGAATCTAGTAGTTATTAATAGCTTTCTTGGTATAATATAGCACAAAAATATTCTAGAATTGTTTTATAGATTATATGCCCCAGACCCACAA